TTTTGTTTACAATTTCGCCGCCATTTTGTTTTCCATTTTGCCGCCATTTTGTTTTCCATTTCGCCGCCATTTTGTTTACCATTTCGACGCCATTTTGTTCACCATTTCGCCGCCATTTTATTTACTATTTCAACGCCATTTTATTTACTATTTCGACACCATTTTGTTTACTATTTCGATGTCATTTTGTTTACCATTTAGACACCAGATTATAACAAGTATAATCCAGATTATAATTAATATAATCCAGATTATAATGAGTATAATCCCGATTATAATGATTATAACCCAGATTATAATGAGTATAATTCAGATTATAGTGAATATAACCACGATTATGGTGAGTATAACCCAGATTATAATAAGTATAACCAAGATTATGCTTCTTTGATGGCCATGTGCTTCGCACATGCCTGATTATTTGTGATGCCACGATCTATTTAACGCCCACCATATCTAAGACTATAGTAATATATAAATATATTTTTCAATAATTCAACTTATATTTGAGCCGGCTCCGGAGCTTTTTAGGTGTATTGTTTGGTTATTTCACCATATTTAGAACTATTTTTTCACATTTTACGTTTATTTTTGACCATGTCTACTCCTCTTTTTACCGATTCGATTATATTTATTAATATTTCTGGACAATTTAGGACTTTTTCATGATAATTACTCACTACTTCATTATATTTCCGCCTAATTTCTGTCAATTCCATCAAGTTTACGACTCTTCTTACGGCTTACATTTGAAGCTTTAAAATTTTTATTTTCATTTCAGCCTATTTGAACCACGTTCCATTCTAATTATTAAAAATTTGGACACATTTCAAACTCTTTTACGAAAATTACTTTCTATTCGACAAAATATCCCCTTCATTTATAACAATTTTATCGAATTCACGACTATTTTTACCATATTTACACTCCAATTCTAACAGTATTGGGGACAAACGTCTCCATCTTTAAGTTTCATCGACTGTAAATACACATTTTTTTTTAACTGTCACATAGATTCCGTACACACAGTAATTCTTCTAATTATTACCATCTGCATTCGTGCAAGCCATGTTTATTCAGTGATTCGTAGGGAAGAAGTGGAGACAATTATTTAATTATCCAAATTAAGTCGATTTGAATGTTTTACAAGGGGGCTTCTCACCCAAAAAATGGTCGATTTTCCCTCCAAGCGCGATAAACTTAAAATAACTCACAAACCTATCAAGATATTTATCAAAATTTACGTCACCTATGTCAAAAAAATGGATTCAGTGGAAAACGTGGAGTAAACAGTGTATTATTAAAAATTAGGTCGCCTGGAATGTTTTACAATGGGGAGTTTTACCCTGAAAATGGTCGATTTTCCCTCCAAGCGCGATAAACTCAAAATAAATTACAAACCTATCAAGATGTTTATCAAAATTTACGTCATCTCTTTTGACCATATCAACGTACAAATTTTAATTATAAATTAAAAATTATAATAATCAATCAATCAATCATTACATATATGTTCTTATCATTTTTAACTTTATCTTGAATATATCTAAGCAGCTTATACTTTCCAATAATTTGATTGTATTTAAGATTACTTTTGAGCGTTTTGATGTATTCTTTAATTATTCCACCACATATAGAACTATTTTTTTACTTTTCACGTTTATTTTCATCATATATTATTTAGACCTGCTCCTTTTCCACCGATGCGATTATATTTAAGATTATTTCTAGACATTTGAGGACTTCTTCTCAATGATTATTCACTATTTCGTCAAATCTGCGCTTTATTTCTAACAATTTCATCAAATTTATGACTTTTTTTACAGTTTATAGATTAAGCTCCCTTTAATCTTTGATTTCACGCCCATTAATCTTCGATTACTTGATTAGGTTTAAATGTGAACAAAATGAGTCTAGAAATACGCTGAAATGACTTATTGATCATCAATCTTCTGAGATAACTTGTCTATATTTAAGCCGGTTTTTCACCCTCCGAGCCTTCTTTTTAATAATTCAACCAAAGTTGTGCCTTATTTTCAAAAATACTTTCAAATTTATAACCATACTATTTCTACCATTTTTAGGACCTAATTCTAACAATATTTACCCCAACTGTCCTTATGTTTTGATTGAGTCAACTACATTTCCAAATATTTTCGATTATATCCAAAAATTTAGCTAAAATGGCCCAGAAATTGACATTTTCTTTCTTGATAAAACAATTTTTTATTGAAATAAATGATCTCTTCTATTTCATGAAATATGAATTGTCTTGTCATTCCAATAATTATAGGTTTGGCTATCAGGGAATATTGAAAGCTAATAATATTAATATTAGCGTCTATGTCGACATATTAGCGTTAGTTGATCCAAATAAAAGAGCTCTAAATTACCGGCGATTAGTATTGAGATTATTTATTAGTTCTTAAAATATATATAACTTTGTCGACGATAATTTACATCTGTGGCATTTAATCAGTTTTTCGTTTTTTGTGTTTTCTTTTTCATTACTGTTTATTATAATTTTTTTTATATTTTTTCAGTTTAGGGGGTCAACAGTCAACTTTCTACTGACATTTATTCATTTTTATTATTTCATCTTTCAAAAGTGTATTAGATTATAATTTGTAGACTTTGATCAGTTGATAATAAAAGTAATTGTTAGCTAAATATCAATTCAAGTATTTCAACTGTGCTAATAGAATCAAATTAGAATAATGTACCGTTTAATTTCAAAGATTTCCAATAACGTTAATCAAATATTATTAAGAAATTATGGAACAGCTGGAAATCTAATTACTGTAACAAAAAACGATGCAACAGGTGCTTAAATCTGAACAGATTAATTAAAAAATTATAAAATTAATTAATTTAAATTACTTTATTGTATAATTAATTACAGGTACAAGTGTCTTATCACTAGGAAGAGCACCCGTTAATGGTCTAAACCTTGAATTACTAACGGAATTAAATGATTCCTTAAAGAAAATTGTTAAAGATGGAAGCAAAGGAGTTATTGTTACTTCATCATTGCCGACAATTTTTTCTGGTGGCCTAGATATTATGGAAATGTATAAACCAGATTTGAAAAGAGCTAAAAAATTTTGGGAACAACTGCAAGACACGTGGATTACTCTTTATGGATTGAGTGTACCAACTGCTGTTGCGATTAATGTATTTAATCGATCTTTTTACTTTATTTAATATTTGTAGTAAGATTAAAAAATTAGAATACCTGTGAAATTTAATTTAAAGGGAGCAAGCCCAGCTGGTGGCTGTTTAATGGCGATGACCTGTGAATACCGAGTATTTGTTGATGGAAAACATAGTATTGGATTGAACGAAACAAAGTTAGGTATCGTAGCACCTACTTGGTTCAAAGATCTTTACATTTCAACAATGGGATACCGTCGTGCAGAGTTGGCTCTATTACAGTAAAAAAATTTAAATAAATTATTGTTATTGTCATTTATTAATCATTTATTAAAAAATATTAAGTTAAAAAATTTCTTCAGAGGCACACTGTTTACTCCTAAAGAAGCATTAGAAATTGGATTGGTCGATGAATTAGCTGCTAATAAAGAAGAAGCCATTCAGAAATGTCAAAAGTTTATTGATACATTTGATCGTATCCCTGGTAAAGAATAAAAAATAAATTAAACAATAGTTTGTTTGTTATAAGTTATAACTTATCATAATTATTTTATTTTTAGCTGTAGGAAGACATGCCACTAAAATAGATTTGAGAAGTGAATTAATTGAATGGCTAAAAAAAAATCGAGATGCCGATACCCTTCGTTTTACGAATTTTATATCTCAGCCTGAAGTTCAGAAAGCTTTGCATCTATATATTGAAGCTTTAAAGAAAAAAAATTAATCTTTATATTAATCGAGTGTGTTACAGTTTTAAAAAATATCATTTATTTTTGAAAAGTAAAATTTCTAAAATACCAAAAATTAACAAAGTCAAGTTAGATTTGACTATTTTTATATATTTTATATAGAACTTTTACAAAATTTTTTTTGTTTTATAAATAAATAAATATACTTAAATTATAAAATAATTTTTATTAAAATTATCCTTCGAGAGCTGCTGCAACATCAAGTGCAAGTGCGTCATTGATACAAAAATGATTATGCATCCGTTCTCGCTGAAACTGCAAAAAATGAGAAATTTCGAGTATCCGCTGACGATGTCGAACCCGTTCTTGTCTAAAAAAAAAAAAAAAAAATAATAATTTAATAATCTAACTAATTGAAAATGTATTCAATTATAAACTTACTTGCTGAATTCATACAGCAACTCTTCAAGCCAAAGGTTTATTCTTTCAATGATACTGTCTTCGCGATTATCAACAATCTTTGAAGAAAAAAATATATAATATTGTTTATTTATTATATTTAATATTTTTAATTTTTGGATATTACAAGATCTTTTTATTACCTGTATATGAATATCATGTGAAGCAATCAAGGTATTGTTTAAAACATCAATGTCGCCACAAATGTCAACAAAATTAGCTGACATCATCAAATCTCCACCACTACTTAAATAATTATTAATCACAGTATTTATCACCTCGCGATATCGGAGGAAAATATCACGTATTTGAGAAAAAATTTTCCGTACAAATTCCACAAATGAATCTTTCAAATCAGTTATATTTATCTTAAAAATCTCAAATATATCTTCTATTTGTTCATGCAAAACAACTTCGCTGTACATCAGCTTTGTCCACATATTCGTCAAACTTTCGTTTAATTCATCAGCTAATTCTTGAGTTTTCGCTATTTTTATATCTATTTTTATTTCTTGTTCATTCGATTTTTTATCTGATTTTACTAAATCATCAAATTTATTAAAAATTCCGTTTCTTTCTGTTTTTATTGTTTCAATGATCCTTTAAAAAAAAATAAAAAAAAGTTTTTAAATAAGATTTATTAATTGTTTAAACAGAATTCTTGATAAACTTACTGTCTCGCTTCATCACGAACATTTTCTCGAGCTTTTTGGACGACTAAAAAAAATTCATCAATTTCTTTCGCCCTGACAACGTGTTGATCTACTCCAAATTTGTACAATTCCTGACATACGGTTGTAAACTTTTTTTTATATTCTTCATATACTTCAAGGGTATCGTTATTTAGATTTTTCAATATAATTCCATCTATTTAATGAATGATTATTTTAATATTAATGAATTATAATGATAAGTGTAGTGATAATTAAAATATATAAGTAATATATAATAAAACAAACTTTGGTCATCTTGAAAGACAGTATTAAAAAATTCATCTCCGTCTAATTGATCAACAAAACACAGAGAATCATATTGAGTTTTTCTATTTACTTTCTGTTGTTTATTCATTTTTATTTTAATATTTGATTCCTCTTCTTTAACTTTAATAATTGCTTGTCTACAATTAATTTTAAAATGATATATATATATATATTATAAAAATAAGGGAATACTAAATAATATAATTATAGGAAACATATACCTGTACTTTTTGATGGCGTCATTTCTTTCTTCTTTGCTGATTAAGACATACGAAAAATAAATCACTTGAGGCAGTAAAGCAATAAGATAATTATTATAATTTTCTTGTAGAGTGCAAGGATTTCCTGTTATATTAACGGATCTCAAATTTTTAAATTTTCTTAAGTATAAAACCTAAAAGATAAATTTTATTCACAAAATCTTGTTATTAATTTATTAAGATAAAAAAATAATTACTCACGTGATCCCATTTGTCGATTTTATTGTCAGCGATACTAAAAATATTAAGGTTTTTCAAGTTATCAATATTTTCAATGTCATAAATTTTGTTGCCAGCAATAAGTAGAACTTGTAATTTAACCAAACAGTTTAAATTTTCCATTTTTTTTATTCGGTTAAAAGAAAGATCAAGATCTTCAAGATTCACCAGGGCGTCGAGGTTTTCAATTTTGTCAATAATATTATGGGATAATATGAGTTTTGTCAGATTAGTCATAATCCAAAGATGGTCTATTTTCAAAATTTCTGTACGAGTTAAAAATTAATTAATATACATTAATAAAAAAAACTTATTATATATATATATATATATATATATATATATATATTTACAAAAGTATACTTTACTAGAAAATTCAATTCGTATTTCGTTTACTTCATCCAATTTTATTCCATCTTCACGAAATAGTCTACCACGTTCACCCTTGGGAGCTTGTTCAATAATTAAATTTACAAGAGTACTATAATTTATTACATCTGGTACATCATAAATTACTGAAAAAGGCTCATCAATGCTTATATTTTTTTTATAACTTTCATAATTTAATTTAGACATTATATTAATTTATATTTGTTGACACATACATATATAACATATGTGAATATAGAGGTGTCAAATCTCTATTTAAATTGGTATCCTAGCAACTAAATAATATATATTAATCATGATATTATAAAGACTATTATCATATATATCATTGTAGCAATAATTTCAATAATATTTAACAAAATTCTTCTAAGAAATAGGTATAAACAATTTTTTTTCAAAGTACTTACTTGTGATGATTTTTTTGATTTTTAAATCAAATAAATCAACATCTCCTCCTCAAGTCTAGTTTTCATAAATCGTAAAACGGTAATTGTTGGATATGCGGTTTTATGCTCCTGCTACTTACACTATACTTACTTACATTATTCACATAGGTATACTACTGACAGTTGATTAGTGCAGTGGTATATAGTGATGTTGACGTGACGTGATATATATATTACATCGCAATAGAGATCTAATGCTCGGCTCATAATTAATATAAAAGGTATATATTTAGATTAGACATTGAGTATAGAGCCGACCAATAATTACTATTATACGAACCCACATAAATCTCAAATTATTAGTTAAATATTTTATCATCAATAGTAGACACTATAATCCGGTTATTATTTCAGTTGCATCCATTGTTAATAATTGTGATTCCAATCGTCAATATCAGTTGTCAGTTCGGAGATCACAGCAGAAAAAAAAGTGGAGCAGACTGAAAAAATGCGCAAGTAAATCCAATCCTATAGGATAAATTGAAACAGTATTTACATACCAACAACTTAAGGATTTTCAATTGACAATTGACATTTACGGCAACGCATTAAAAACGTCGTGGAGTCGTGGATGTAGACACTCTTAAAAACCACATGAGTCATATGATAATAACAGTTTATTTAATATAATATAATATCGCCAGTATCATAATACTATTAAAGTATTGTCTACTAAGTGGATTACTCGCCTCAGATATTTATTTCAATAATTTTCAGTATTTGAGTAATAAATAACTAAAAATATGTCGTTTTTTGGAGTAAACGTCAATCCGTTTTCGACTCCTGTGGGTCAAAAAATAGGTAAAGTAAAAAATTAAAAAATATCACCGGTTACATATATCTATATTGCGCATTTTGTTGTACTACTGTTGTTTAGTAAACTGTTATCTCTATATCTATACTTATAATTTGATCCATATATACAATATACAACGTGTATATGTGAGTAAGGTGGAACACGTTAATTTAATCAAGTTTGAGTTGAAGTCAACTCGATACTTTTTTTTTTTTTTTTTTTTTTTTTTTTTTCTCCCCGTTTCTTTTGTACCTACTTTCTTGTCTACATTTTAATATAAATATATATATATATATTTTTTTATCATTTATTTTGTAAGATAAGCGCAAACTTAATTCTTTGTTTAAAAACTGATTATGTCATGATATAATTGAATATTTATTATTATTTTTCAGAGCAAGCCACGGACGGTAGTTTACCCAGCGAAAACTGGGCTCTTAATATGGAGATATGCGACATTATTAATGAAACAGAAGACGGCCCGCGAGACGCGATTAAAGCTATTAAAAAACGCCTCGGTCAAGCTGCTGGAAAAAATTATACTGTGGTTTTATACACACTTACTGTTAGCATACGAATTTTTATTTTATTTTGTTTTGTTTTTTTTTATCTATCTATTTAATAATTTAAATAAATAAATATACTTTATAGGTTTTAGAAACATGCGTTAAAAACTGTGGAAAACGTTTTCACACACTAGCTTGTTCACGTGAGTTTATATTGGAACTTGTAAAGATGATTGGACCAAAAAATGAACCACCAACAGCTGTTCAGGAAAAAGTATTAAGTTTAATTCAGACATGGGCTGATACTTTTCGTCATCAACCTCATACGCAAGGTGTTGTCCAAGTTTACCAGGAATTGAAGGCTAAAGGAATGCAATTTCCAATGACTGATTTAGATGCCATGGCTCCTATTATTACACCGGAACGGGTAATTAAAAAGAAATTTTTTAATAATAATAATGTTTATTAATAATTAATTTTAGAGCGTACCGGAAGTGACGTCCAGTCCCAGCATTACCCAAGGAAACGAGCGTATAAGTGTTGCTGGATGTGATGCAACTGCTCTGCAACATCAAGCACAAATTCAAGCATTGCAGCCTGTTCAATTATCGGATCAATTGATAGCAAAATTACGAAGTGAGCTTGAGATTGTCCAAGGCAACATGCGTGTCCTTGCTGAAATGCTCCACCATTTTACGAACCCAGAGCAACAAAAGCCCCTGCAGATCGTTGAAACTCGCCCCGACCCTGCGGATTTGGAGCTAATGCAGCAGCTTTATGCGACTTGTAAAGCAATGCAAGAGCGAGTCGTTGATTTAATCGGTCGTCTTGTCGACGACGAAATGACTGCTGAGTTATTGCGTATAAATGACGAGTTGAACAATTTGTTTTTGAGATACTCGCGTTATACAAAAAATAAAACAATCCCAACGGCAAGTGCAATTCTCGCCCAGACATTAGGCCCGCCAAGTCAAGTACCGCATAAACGGCAAGAACAATCACTTATTGATCTTGATGAGGACTCTGTTAATGCATTAGAGGGTGCTATAGGCGAAATAGGTACTTGTATATAGTAATTAATATTTAATATTACTAAAATATTTATTTAATAAATAGGTATTTCTGATATGGCTGATGGTCGAGACAAGGGAGTGCCTTCTAAAAATAAACGAGAAGATTTATTAGAAAGTGATGAATTTGATATGTTTGCCCAGTCTCGGAATGCTACTTATGAGTCAACAAAAAATGCGTAAGCTATTTTTAATATTAAATTTTTTATTGTTATTGATAAATTATTAATTGTCAAATTACTTGACCGATTTACCTCTTTTAAAACATACTAATTGATAAATTTCACTTAATAATAAATTAGCGGAAGTAAATACGAAGATAATATCGAAGATTTGAGCGGTAATGGAAGTCTAAGTTCAGCAATTTTAAGTCGTGGATCTAGTTTAACACAGCCAACGACAATCGGAGTTGCTGGAGCTGGTGCCGGTGCTGGTACTGGTGCTGGAAGAATCGCCGTACGTAATTAATTTTTATAATTTGATTAAATACAAAGACTTTATTGGGATTTGTTTGTTCATTTAAGTCACCATTGTTGTTGCTTTTTCTTTGCAAAAATTTATTTTATTTATTTATTTGTTTGAATCATAATTTTTATATGTTGATTGTTTTGTTATTATTTTTATGAATGCTTAGTCAAATCGAGAATCTGATTTCAACGAAATGGCAGCGTGGCTTGATGAAAGCGCGGTAAGTTACAGACGGATTTTCGTTAAAAGCTTTTTTGTTGCTTCATTATTTTGTTCTTTTATCTCTGTTTTATTCACATATAACTTTTTACCTAGGCTTTATTTTTTAAAATAATCTATTCTAATTATACCCTACTATTTCCTCAGACTCCAAAAGAACAGGGCGACCAAGAGTCACTAACATCTTCGGAATTTGAAAGATTTTTAGCCGAACGGGCAGCTGCTGCAGAAGCTTTGCCCAATTTATCTACAGTTACCACCGCGCCCAGCACAACGGCACCGGGGACTAACATTCAGCGACAGATAAACAAAGATCAAGATAAATCACTATTTGCACTCTGAATTGATTGTTATTATTATTATTATTATTATTATTATTATTGTTCTTTAAGTTATTCGTGATAATGACAACCGAGACAAAAATCAATTTACATCATAATCTCTTAACTTAACACATAATTAAGATATCGAATATCGTTGCTTTGCTTTTACGTACTTACTTTAAATGAATCAACTAAACTCATAATTCAATGATCCAAAAATTATTTTTGGTTTTGTTTAGCAAACAAGTTTGTACCTACTGAGAAAATATTATTTTTTAAAAATTGCACTCGTAGTAGTTTTTTTTTTTTTTTTTTTTTTTTTTTTCTATTAATTAACCCGAAATTTTTCTTACAATTATTTTTATAGAAATTTTCAAACTGTCGGATGTCTGTTAATTAATTTCTATTTTCATACTTATTTGAGCTGTAAATGTTTTTGGATAAAAATTTTTCATCTTAGTCGCTCGTACTTTACGTCATATGTATAACCAATTAATTATATATATATATATTATAAATAAAGTTATTTAAATTCCAAGTGGTTAAAAAAAATGAATTTTCCAGCCACTTGGGTCACTAATCCTCTAGAAATATAGCTAATTACAATGCTTTTCTGTATATAAAGAAAAAATTATAAATAATTTTTATGGCCCGATCGAAACTTTTATTATATAATCATAATCATATAATAGTTTCGTATTTAATCTATAAAAATAATGAATTTATTAATTAATATATAATAAATAATAATAATGATTGTAATATGTCACATAGTATAATGTTATCTATGTTTAAATATTAAACATAAAAAAAAATATAGACAATTCTAAAGAATATAATTTTTTAATTTTTGTCCTTGTTGATTTTAAATTTTCCGCTTAAAGTATACATCAGCGCCACATATATATCTACATATATACATTTATATAAATATCGTAGTTAGGAAACTACATTTGCAAGCTCGGGCACTAGACCAATGAAATTATGACTTGGAATTTACAGTGATTGTTGATTGGACAGGTTTTGTTATAAAAAAAGAAAAGAAAACATGTGTGTGTGTGTGATGTATATTTAGTACAATATAGTTGTACAACACCAGTCATGAGACTTGAATAGAGTAACGTAGTGTGTGTGTGTGGGAGAGAGTGTACGTAATACATTGCTCCGTAGTCTGTGTATTGCACATGGGGTTTACTGCCACGACCTGTACGGCTACACGTTCAAAGATCAAACGTTCTAGAATCAAGAGAAAGAATATTATCACTCGGATGGTTAACAATATCATTTATTATTAATAATTATTTATAACTAAACATCGAGTGGCTGTTATTACTGAATAATTTATCAAGAAAATGTACACAGTGTCAAAAGGACCTAGTAAAATAGTTGCGAAAACTCGTAGAGGTATTTATAATCTCCTCCTCGTGTCGAGATAGATTCAAGTTCAAAGTTTTATTTTATTTTATTTTTTTAACTTGAGTTAATAATGTTGTTTTAAATTTTATTTAACATTTAAGGAATAAGCCAAAATCTTGACAGACTTGATAGCTTAAGGGATCTTACCAGAAAATCGGATCCTTCTGAAAAAGAATGCGATGATGAAATCGACCGGTATTATTTGTTAATCTTATTATTTCATTGTTTGTTTATTTATAATTATTATATTTTTTAATATAATAAATATTTTTTAAGTCATGCCCCAAAACCTGTTTTCAACGTTAACGGCAAATCAAAAATTTCCTCACAAAGACATAGGATGCAAGAGGTCATTACTCCTCAACACGAGGAACTAATTAAGTTTGTCTATGAGTGTAAGTCTATCAATAAGATATCTAAATAAATTTTTAATATACAAATTAATGGAAGATGTAAAAATAATTATTTTAGCTTGGAGTCAAGTAGGGTGTACAGCCAACGGCCACGAGGACTCTCATAACTCTGAACACCAACAACAACAACAACAACAACAACAACAACAACAACGACAAGGAGGAGGTGATTATTGTTTTTCGTTTTTATTAAAAAAATTATTTTTGTAATTTATTATTTATTGTTTTAGATTTAATAACGTCTTTGTATTACAACGATGGTGAACCAAATGACGTTCTTCAAGGTAAAGATAATGTTATTAATAAGCATAAATAGCAGTTATGTAATAAAATGCGATGAATATATTATATATTTGTTTTCAGACTTCAAACCATTCGACCTGGAGTCTTGGTGGGGCAAAAGATTGTTCAACAACATCACAAAGTCTCTTTAAAATCTATAAAAATTCAAACTACAGTTTTAATAAAAAGAGAAAGAACGAATGGTTTTTAAAAGTGTCCATATTAACTTTTTAAATCAAGTATGAAAGAAAAATAATTAGTATAAAATATATTAAATTTTCGTCAGGTTTGAAACGGTGATTAGATTAATGAACGTTTTATGTAATGTATAATCCCGAATATATAATAATGCCCAAAGTGTTTAGATATTAATGTCGCGGATATATACATTTATATTTCAGCTGTTGTTAGTATGGTTATTGATGATGATGTTATTGTTAATGCAACGATTTATTGAAAGATTATGAGAAAAAGATTGTTAATTATTTGATTGATCAATTTAGTGTACATATTATTATTATCATCATTCGAAAAATTGTTTTGCAGAATGAAAGTGGAGAGTATGACCGCCGGGTGAAAGATAATTAATTAATTTTTTCTATTGAAATTAAAATTATAATAATAATAATAATAATAATAATAATAATAATAATCTACTCTCGCACACACCAATAGAATATTTTACAATTTAGTGTATCTTTGTAGACTGATATTTTTTAAGATTGTTATATGTTCATTTGCAGAGGCTCTGTAATTATATCGATTAATTTATTTTTAATTGATTAATAATTAATCAGACAAAATAAATCATTTGTTAACAGAGATTTATTTATGTCTTGATTTGTAGTCCACATTTAAAAGTAGTAGTGCAATAGTTTATATATTAGAGCCAGAGGCCTACTGGACAAATTGTTATATGACTATAAATATATCTTTATATACCACCAAACGTTGTACATAATACATATACATTTTTTGTTAATTATTAACATTTTGTGTGAATAGTTAGAGTTTATCATAAGAATATGTATGTAGTAGATATATATGTAAATTTATCCCGCTCTTTACTATATATATATATATATATATATATATATATAATGAACACATAGTATTGGCCAGTTTAGGTCAGTGAAAATCAGTACTGACCTACAGAAGCTAACTTTTATCAGCTGTTTGTTTTTTTTATAACCATATATATATATATATATAAAACAATATATGTAGTTGTATACAATAAAATATACGAAAAAGTTACGCAATGACCAGTAGCCTGTCGAAACTCACAGTCTCGTGCCTTGTAAATAAATATATGTATAGGAAAAAGAAGAAAGAAAAAGAAAAAAAAAAAAGTAACAGATCACAAGACACAGAAAGACAGGTTATGTTCGATAAAATGTATTTTATATAATAAAAATGTATAAAATAAAAAACTAGAAAATAACGCGGGTAATGAAAAAGGTAAATAATTTAATAAAAATAATATTAAGTAATGTGAACTTTAATGAACTTGAATTGGATATTTTTTAGCTGACTGTTGATGACCTGAGGTAAAATGTTTGAGTACTTTTTAATCAAATAAACAAAAAAAAAAAAAAGAATAAATTATACAGGACAACAACAACAACAACAACAGAGTCTTATTTGTTGAATGTGTAAAATGAGGATGATGAGGTGACCCTCTCCCCGAAGATTTAGTTTTATTATTTAATGACTTTATTAAGTAATTATGAACGCAGTGATAGCAATGTGTACGTTTTGCGAGATCCACGGTCCAAGAGTGATCTTTACAACTCAGACGTACAGGAGTTTTACAGACGAGAAAGAGTCTATGAAAAAGCTGAGATTTTATGGGCCCAAACAAGTAATGCAACGGAGTTTAAATGTTAGTGATGACTCGAAAAATGAGTGTGACGGTTGTCGTAGCCTGGGAAACGTTAAATACTTGAGTAACGAGCACGAAAGCAGAACATCATTTTTGTCAGCTAGGCAACCACTTACTGAAGATATCCAAGTTTTATTAGGACATGCTTGTATTAGGTAATACAAATTTTTTACTTGAATAAAATATAATAATTACAATATAAAGGAGTAATTTTAATTATGATTATTATTATTATTATTATTATGTATTATGAGTATTTTTAGGAGTTTGAGCTGCGAATTACATCTTGGTAAAGACGGTATCTGTTACTTTGGTGATGAAAATCGAGGGCATGTATTGAGCCACGCTTTTACATTAAAAGATGCTCAAGTAATTGTTTTATAAATTTATAAATTATTGTTAATCGATTAAATATATTAAATATAAAAAAATATAATTTTTTTAGGCTCGTGGAATAAGACGGTCGTGTAGTTTTATAGTATTTATGAAAGACAAACAATTTCTCCTGAACATGTGGCCATTTTTTGTTGACAACCTCAAACAAATAATCCGTGAGCTTCAGGACTTTGCTGAGCGTAAATACAACTCTGATGAAGCTGAAAATCCTCAACGAGCTGCGCGATTATTATCAGCCAGAAGCGATGGATCTACCGGAAAAAAAAAAACAACTCCAAGAGGTCTCTGTGAGATAACTAACGAGAAGCATGTTTTTATAAGAATCCACATGTGGCTAGTCTGGATTTTGAGTGCTGGAGCTCGTCATCTTGTCGAAATTTGTCCAATTTCAAACGACTTAATTGAATCTCCTTTAACTTACAATTACCTAGCCCGAGATTTACAAGGAAAACTTGGTCGAACCACTGAAGGGTCAACTTCAGCGTTTCTCCTCCGTAATGAGGATTTCAAACCCAGTCCAGAGTTTACCGAAATATCAAAAAATAAATTCGCAACTTGGATTCTTCGCAATATAAAATCGTACTTGACTAAAGAACAATTCAGGCAGTTGCTGTACTCTAGTTTAACGGGAATTCAAATTTTAGTTCGTGGACCCGAGGATAAAACTCTAGAGGCTCTTTACGCACTTAGTTCTTTGGTACCGCGAGCTTGTCGCCGGATAAAGCTCCAAGGTACCGAGTACAAAGACATAAACGATTTTAATTTTTTAGGTATAGACTCGTCAGTGGCTGTTCCGGTCTGTTGCTCTAATATCTGCAGACTGGATATTGTCTCAGATAAACAGCGACACGAATTGTCTTCAGATACAAAGCCATACGTGGTTAAATGGTCTGGAGTGTTGCCAAATAAACTTCCAACACTTGTAAATAAATTAGAAAAATACTTAGACAATGACAAGCTTGATGAGGTTGTTCTTAACAAGCAATTATTGGTTCTGCAACAAGAGTGGGCAAATATCGCAAAAATTGTACACACCATGCGTGGTAATGGGCATCGCAATGATCTTACTGGTCTGATTGTAAGCTTGGGTGCTGGATTACAAGATTACTCCCTTCTAGACTCTTGGTCGATGGGTTTGCCTTCAAATCCTGCTTAATATAATTACGTCTATTAACAATAATAAATATTTATATTATTATATTTATATATTTTCAATTATAAATAAATATATATATATAGGTATATGTGGTTGTTGATTTTTAATTACAAAATATTTATTAACTTTAATAAAAGTACTTTATCGATTTATTTTTATATTTTAATTTTGATTATTACATTATTTATTAAGAATTTATATTCGCAAAAAAAAAAAATATATATATATATATATATTTGTGCCACTGGTAAATGAAAATAGTTGACTGGGTTTAAAATTAGTAAATAAGAATATTGATAATTGATTTTTTTTTTTTTTTTTTTTTTTTTTTTTTAATATACAAAAATATTTTCTAACCCGTGTGATTGACAATTTTTCTAGGTACTCCTATTATTTATCATTCCTTTTTGAAAGAGTCTCGTATTACGTCAGATGTAGCTTTTGCGACTGTAATTTTAATTATTAAATAGATTAATGTTTTTTATTTTTTTTTAAAACATAAAATTAATTTTAAAAAAATAATCACCAGTATCACGAGTCTTTGATATGAGATTGTCAACATCCGGCTGATACTTGATGAATTTTGGTCTAATAAAACGATGATAGAGAACAATGGAGCCATTGTATTCAAGTGGAACCATCAACCAAATGTAAAAAATGCACTGAAAATTAATATTTTTATCAATTATCAACATAATAAATAAAATAATATAATAATAATAATAATAATAATAATAATAATTTTACAATAAATATTTGTATTTATTAATAAAATTTACCTTAAAAAGCCAATACACCGGAAACCAGCACACGATGTACTCGGAGAAAAATTCAATAATGGTAAATACAGCAAAGACAACCCAATAGGTCAACCACTTGGTGTCATCCTCTTTACTTCGAGATTCAAGTGCCTTCATAGAACAATAGGCAGGATACACAAAGCCAATAATGTTACAAACTAGCTGCTGTCCGACTCCAATTACTAGGTATAGAGCTAAAAATCCTACTAACCCTGTAAAATAAATAAATAAATAAATCAATTATGTCATTTATTTTTTCAATTATTATTAATATATTTGTATCAGATTTTTAATTTTAGTTATATGACTATGGCTAATGGCGTTTGTTATAATTATAAAATATATAATGAAAAAATATAACCTTACTGACCCAGAAATATGTAAAGCCGATCAATGCCAGTTTTGGCCTCTGCCATTGAAAATAATTTAGCCCACGGTTTACTTTCATCCTTCAGAGCCTTTTCGATGCTCTCTTTTGCTGCAGCAACTCGTGCCATTTTATTATCTTTTTATTACTTAATTTACGTTTGTTGAATGAAAAAAATACAATGATTGACTAATTTAATATAATATATTTAACTATAGTAAATATAATACATATATATTAAACGAGTTTTTTTGCTGCTTGGTGTTGCTGCGCTTTACCTTGAACACGCAGTTCAAATTCCAAAAAATAATAAACTAGCGACACTTTGGTTGGAAACAGCAACTGATATGTAATACCTTTGACGACATTTATTCAAATGACACACACACACACACACACACACACACACACACTCACATAAGTATGGTCAATTAATTTCTTTTAATCTATTATTCATTACTTAAATATTTTTTAATTGATTATTATTTATTAATAATTATACTTTTATATAATAAATCTTTTTATTAAAACTATTTTTTTTTTATTTCAAATTTTTGAGAGCAACAAACGATGATTAAAAGTGGAAAATTCTTTTCGCATGTACTTTTGGTAATGTAAATTTTAATATATATTATAAATTTTGTTAATTTTCAACGGAGATGACGACAGAAATCCTGCGAGAAAAATGATGTTCGCAAGCCATATTTTTTATATGGGACGTAATTCTGATCCAAACATATTTTTTATTCGCTTTATTTGTTATAATTATAATTATAATTATAATAAATATATTATATTTTATTAACTTATATAAGTATTATTATTATTGCGGTAAGCATTTTTTTCATTAAATTTAGCGGAAAACCATACAAAGATAAGCATCAGACATTCTGTTGTAATGCATATAATTTTTTTTCATATATATATATATTTACTGAAAATTCCATTTACGAACAATAATCCATTTCTTCAAGAGAATTTCTGGAAAAAAAAAAATATATATATATATTTTTTTTTTCTTCAAATTGGACATGTGGTTTTTTTATTTTTAACTTATATTATAGTATTAAAGTATTAAATTTGTTTAAAAAATCCAAATAAAATTATTATGTAAAAATATTGCATGATAAATAATAATTTGAACATACATTCCACCAAAATTTAATTTTTCAGTATTAAGGGCAAGTTTTCTAATATGTCTAATAGTAGTAGCCGCTGCAATTTGAACTTCTGGGTCATCTGATCCAACAAGACGAAGTACATGCTGAAATTTAATATAATATATGATAAAAAAATGAATAGAAAATTCTGTTTATTATTAAAATTACCTTGATAACTCCACAGGTATGCATAGTTACGCAATTAAGTGGTTCCTTACTAAGATGATAAAAAGCAATACAAACACCTTTAAGGACATGTTTATTCTTACTATTAGCATAATTAACAAGAGGAGCTACGGCATTTAACCGACCAAATTCATAATTATTACGATCCCACTCGCAGCAAAATGCAATCGCCAAGGTAAGATTTGATCTTAAATGTTCATCTTCCTAAAAAGGCAAATTACTTAATTATTTTTATTATTATTATTATTATTATTATTATTATCTATAATTAAAATATATATGAAATAAAATAAAATAAAATTACCGTATGTACAAGTTTTGCCAATTTTTTGACAACTCCATGATCGGTGAGAATACCAAGATTTTCTGGATTAACAGCAATCGCAGCAATTGTCGCGCAAACAGCAGCCAAAACTTGAGTGTCATCGCTGTCCAATATTGAAACAGTGACTTCGAGACCACCTACAAAAGCTCGAACCATTTCTGGGGAGTCTTTAGCATTTTTAATACAAGGTACAAGTGCTCTACAGGCGTTACGTTTGATAACATTACTCGGGTGTTTGAGTAGTGACCAAACAAGTCGAACACCATCGAGCGAATGAGATGGATCGTTTATAACATCCATGCATTGTTCATCTTCAGCGCATTCTTTTATTACCAAAGGTAAATTTTCTAAAAGAGGCTCATATGTTCCACTTAATAATCTAATCTGTAAAAATAAAATGTTTTATTAGTAATAATAATAATATAATAATAATAATAATAATAATAATAATAATAATAATAATAATAAGGATTTGTTTTTATTAAATACTTGGAAAAAAAAAAAAAATATTTATAGATACCAATTTTGGAAGACCATTATTAATCCTCAAGACATGCCTATTAGCTGGGTCTACACAGCACTCTGCTAAAGCACCCACGACATTCGCAAGAACTTGATCATCTTCATTTTCTTCTAAAAGTGGTACTAGTGAGGCTACTAAGCTGTTTTGATTGAACCTCGATACATTTTCAGGACTGATTGCGCACTTCCAAATAGCCCCAGTTACTGCTGCGAGGAGATTTTTATTTGATCTAATGTTATCGGATTGAATTAAGCGACAAAGAGGATCCAGCCCTCCTGACTGTCGTACCATATCCCGAGTTAGTTTATTAGCAGCACATTTGTAAATTGCTAAAGCGCAATTTTCTTCAAGTTTCAGACGATCTTTCTCACCACGACTGGCTTCTTCACTGGCCTTCTTTTCATTCTGAGCATCTAACTCGGGAGACGACGATGATTCCACGGTATGGCTACTTTTATGGTGATTTACTAACATTTGCTTGTACTTGATGCTAGCAGCCTCGCTGTCACAAAGGTGACGAACTATTTCGGATATTATTCCTATTTGTTCAAACGCCAAGCGAAATACTTTCTATAAATTAATAATAATAATAATAATAATTATTATTATTATTATTATTATAAGATAGAGCCCCAGCAATAAAATATATAATTAAATGTAAAAAATAATAATAATAATATATTTACTAAATCAGCACATTGTTGTATTGCTCCCATTATCGGAATAATAAGCTCGATGTGAGTAGACTGAAGAAAACGGCTCATGAAAAAAACTACACCGTGTTTTCTAAGTTGCTCTTTTATTTTTGGACTGCTGCTTAAAGAATTTAAAACTTTAGCACAAGCTATGGCTACTGCGATATGTTGACGCTCGTTATCATTAAGCTGATCTGGATTTCGTCGCAAAACATTGTCAGGAACGTCCATAGCATCTAACTGCAATTAGTATAAAAGTTAATAATTAATAAAAATTAAATTTAAATAATAACATATGGAGATGAAATAAATAGTTATTACTATTAAAGCGATTCCAGAACGAACACGAATTTGTTTTCTGGCTTTGCGCATCATAGCAATACTGGCCATTGTTTCAGCAGTTAAAATTCTAACGTCTCTTGCTGGATGTTTAAGTAGGTCAATAAGAGGTGAAACGATTCCTAAATCAATTAGATACCGACGTGTCTCCGAGCAGTACCCCATTTGTGATAAAACACCGAGAGATCCTAGTTGGCATTTAACGTCTTTTGTTTCTAGAAGATTTACCAGAACTTCTAAACCACCCATTTCACGTATTGCTCGTTGAGTTGTCTTAATAAAATCATTATTAATTATTAATTATCAATAGTGTAATAATAAAAATTATGATAATTATTTATTACGCACCCGATTGGAAAGATTAAAATTTTTCAAAAGACAAAGAGCAACTGTTGTAGCGGTTTGATTTCCAGCTTTTATGTACTTGATGAGTTTTTGCAATTGCCAAAACTCCGAAGCATGCTCTGGCGTTTCATCATTAACAAAAGGTGTTTCTTCATCACTTCCTGATTCTGGTTCATCATCAGAACTGTCCTCTTCAGCGGTTTCGTCGATTAAACAGTGTCGGGGAGTTGCATTAATTTTTTCATCTAAATTTTGGCTTCTTATTGAGGATCTTTTTTGCGATTCAAAAGTTGTCAACTTTTTCTTTGTACGGCTAATTCCTTTTGTTGCCGACATATTTAATAGATGATGACTTTTCGTTTTTTTTTTTATTTAAAATTTAAAATTTTTAATATAATCAAAATTCGTATATACTATAAAAATAATTTTTAAGTTATACTTTGCTGCACAACTTGACAAAATGCCGATCTATTTAACAGTCTAGTTAATATTAAGAAATTTAACTTAACGGTTTTAAATAATAAGAAATTAAGGTATTGATTTCACAAACCCTTGACAATTTTGCTGCGGTATTTACATACCTGTCATCATACAAAGTTTGATCGATTCATTATGACCTGCTGTAAGGATAAAATCAAACATAAGAAATAAGTACTTGTGATATAAAACTTGTGTTTGATAAAATATCAATATTTATAATAATTATAGCTGATCAAGTTTGAGAAAGGAAAAATAATTAATAAAACAAACAGAAGAATTATGATTTAAAATTATAAATACGGATGTTTTTTTTTTTTTTTTTTTATCACCTATATAATGATCTCAGCAAATCGACTCTTGATTAAGATTCCGGTTTATCAGATCAAATACTTGTTAATTAATTTATCTATATATATATATATATATAAGGTTTACTAAAAAAAATAATTAAAAAAAAAAAATATCAAAAATCTTGACTAACATTATAAAAATAATAAATAAAATAATTAGATAAAAATATGTAGATAGATATATACCGATGGTGGACTAACACACCCAGCGCTGTGTATTAAGTGAACAAGGTTAGTATACCCATGACAAAGTGAGTATTTATAGTATTATTATTATTATTAGTATTATCATATTGTAAATATCCTGTAGTATATATTTAATAATAATATAATAATAATCGATGGCCGCTATTTTATCTCGCACAATTCGTTTGACATGGACTTTGAACTGTAAAATATTAGCCACTGACTTTGCAAGTGACAATTTAATAAAAGCCATGGAGTCAACGAGCTGTTTCATCGGCAAAGAGGACAATCATAATGGTATTTTGGTGGATTCTACCAAAGAACCCTGCTCAGCTGATGATGTTGTCAATCGTTTGAGAGGTATATATAATAATATAAATATAGTGTTTTATTTACTATTTAATTAATCAATAAGAATTTTTTATTTAATTTAATTATTTTTCAGCTTCTCTCACTGACTGGAGCAAAAACAACAAAAAAACAGTTTGGTTTCGGGTCGAGAGAAATGATGCTGACTGGATTCCACTTTTGGTTAAAGAAGGATTTTTATTTCACCATGTTAAAGAACAATTTGTAACATTGTATCGCTGTTTAACGTCAGATAAAAATATTCCTCCTTATGCTCACACAAATTTAGGCGTAGGAGGTTTTGTAATAAATGATAAAACTAATGAGGTATTGGTTATTAAGGAAAACTATTCTAATAAAGCTGCTAATAGGGCTACCAGGTGGAAATTACCTGGAGGTTACGTCGAACCAGGTACAATAATACAATAACAAGTTATTAAATAAAAAAAATATTAATTGATTGATTGATTGAAATCAATAAAAATATCTTTAGGTGAAAATATACCTGAAGCTGTTGAAAGAGAAGTATTCGAAGAAACTGGAATTAAAGCCAAATTTAAATCTCTTGTGGGATTCAGACACGCACATAATTATGCCTTTGGATGCAGTGATATCTATTTCGTAGCAAGATTGGTTCCTGAAACATTACAAATAAATAAATGTACCCAAGAAATAGCCGAAGCTGTTTGGATGAAAGTAAAATTTATTTTTTAATTCATTTTTTTTTTTTTTATTTTAAATTATAATAATTAATTTTTTATATATTTTATTTCATATCAAGCTGGAAGACTATGCAAACAGTCCAGATGTTTATAGATTAAATCGGTTTATTGCCAAAAAAATGATTGAATTGTTAAACAGTAATACGGAAATCGGATTGGTTAATGGTGAGCGACCGAATTCGACCGAGCCGATTTGGATTTATGTAATAACTAATCAAGATGATAAAAAAGATTTATCACCTGTTAGAAATTAATTGAGATATTTAAGATTTGCAAAGCACAAAATAGAGGTATTGATAAAAATAAATAGCTCAGATAAAATACCATTATTATTAATGGTTATTAATCTTTTTAAAATTTACAGTTATTAAATTAACATTAAGATTGTTTATTATAAAAATTTGTAAGATAGTTTAAAAAATTTTTAGACCAATATGTATATTTTAAATAAAATAATTATTCTTGATAAACTTGTGTTACAATCAACTTGATTTTATTAAAATTATTCAACAACAACTTAAAATAATATCTTTTTATAAGTATTTTATTTTTGTGTGTCACACATTAATTAATAAAATTTTCTGTCAGTAGATGGCGGCGGTTAGTGTCGTCTCGAGCAAGAAATAAGTGGTGAAAAAAAAATAAAAAAAGTGAATTGCATTTTTTAAGTACTTGAATGTATATTATATTATAATAAACAGGTCTTATATATAATATAATAACTTTATAATATTTACACACAAAGTGCACAACTAAACAAAGAGAAAAGTTATTGTCTTGTATAGGATTTTCTGGTGATAATTAATAAAAATAAATAAATAAGAGAAACAATAAATTTAAAGTGAATATGTAAGAGAAAAAAGTTAAGAAAAAAAAAAAAAAGCCAATGGTGGGTAAATGCGGGATAAACGTCACATAGAATTAATACGTCGCAGAGAGATTTGCGGTGGGTAGTAAATTGGGCGGTGCTGCTAATTGCTGCAGCACATTTATTATAAATAGTAAACATGAGTAAAATGTATTCAACTGCCAATTTGACGGACAAGGAGCTCAAGGAACAAGGAAATCGATTGTTTAGTCTTCACAAGTACGAGGATGCTGCTAATTGTTATTCAAAAGCTATTGTAAGTAGTACCTTTAATAATAATAATAATAATAATATCTCCATAGATTATTATTTAAAAAATTTTTATAATACTTTACTTGATATTTTTTTTAGATTAAAAATCCAGCACAAGCGCCATACTTTACAAATCGCGCTCTGTGTCATTTAAAACTTAAAAGATGGGAATCCTCATGCCAGGATTGTCGCCGTGCTTTAGACATGGATCCATGTTTGGTCAAGGGTCACTTTTTTTTAGGCCTAGCACTTTTAGAACTTGAGGCGTTTGATGAAGCGATAAAACATCTCCAGCGTGGTAAAATTTTAATTAATTAAAGATTAAAGACAGTGTTTATGTTTTAAAAGATTTAAAATTAAAAATAAAAATGAATGACATGTTTCAGCTGTCGATTTAGCCAAAGAACAAAAGCTCAACTACGGCGATGACATGACCAGTGTGTTGAGGCAAGCGCGTAAACGACGTTTTCAATTAAAAGAAGAGCAGCGACTTGCTCAGGATATTGAACTACAGACTTATCTGAATCAGCTGATTCTGGAGGATGCCGAGCGACATATGGCAACTCTCGACGAACAAATAAGATCAGCCAGTGAAAAAAATTATCGTCAAGACTCGAGTGACGGAGGAAACAATAAAACTACCGACGCCGAGTCATCAGCAACTGCACAAGCCATGTCTATTAACAGGCAGGAAATAGAGAGTAAAAAAGAGACTGCTATTACTCGTCTTAATGATCTTTTTGCTAAAGTTGATGAGAGACGAAGAGTAAGTTATTTATTTTTAATTAATATTATTATTATTATTATTATTATTATTATTATTACTATTACTATTATTTTTTAGAAACGAGAAGTTCCAGATTATTTATGTGGAAAAATAAGTTTTGAAATACTTCAAGAGCCAGTAATTACACCCAGCGGTATCACTTATGAACGTAAAGATATTGAGGAACATTTACAGCGAGTTGGTCATTTTGATCCTGTTACTCGTGTACGTCTTACTCAAGATCAATTAATCCCAAATCTGGCGATGAAAGAAGTTGTTGATGCTTTCTTACAAGATAATGAATGGGCATTAGACTATTAACAACAATAACAACAACAACAACAACAACAACAATAACAATCTATATTAATCAATATTTTTAATAAAACAGGTGATAATTTTTTTAGTTACTAGTTTCGTAAGGATGATTAACTCGATCTCATGTAATTCCGTCCTCGATACGTTGGAACATGAATCGAGTATTCATATTCGTATGTATTTAAAATAATAATAATAATAATAATTAATATCAAACGTAATATTATAATAAACGTCTGTAATCATACGATAATTAACAATAAAATAGTTTATTTTACGCGAACAAAATTTTTACATTTTACAAATTATTCAATATAATTTATTATTATTATTATTATTATTATTATTATTATTAAAATTTTGGATTTTAGCTTATGGAGACTTTTTTTTTTTAACAAAAAATGGAGTAAGAACGATCCGAGTTATTGAAATCGCTACGATCGGAGGTATCATCCATTGATAGTCTGCAATATTTTTCGATTGTGCGATCCAGAGCAAAATAAAACCGACTATCCTCTGAAACATTGCGATTGTTCTTAGCCGAAATTTATTGTCTTGAGGAATAGGCGGAGAAATTTTTACCAGGCCTAGAGAACCCCACCCAGTCAAAACAATCCAGCAGATATACATGGTGGTATCTTCGGTTGTCAATCGAGTTTCATAACTGGAAAAAAAAAAAAAAAAAAAAAAAAAAAAATAAATAAATAAATAAATAAATAAATATATAAGATATATTTATAAATATTTTAATTTTAATAATAATTTTACCTAAAGTTTTTAGCCCACACAAGAGTGGTTGGTATCGCAGATATGGATGTGAGATACCATATCATGAACAACAACAGATGATTAATAATATTTGTTGTTGGATTAACGTCATCTCGAGGAGCGCTTTTAGTGATTTTGACCTGTTTATCTGAAGAAGGCTTTTTAATTTTTCTTATAAATCCACGTAGTGTGGCCATAAATAATTCTTCCAGATAATCTTCGTACATTCTTGTTAGCTTCAAAAAGTAGATTACTACTGAGAGAAGCATCGCTACTGCTGCACAACTGCTAGATATTATTATAAAGAGTATTAAACTTGCAATAAAAGGTAAATGGTCGAACCACTGTCGTATTAACCACCCGTACCACGCAGCAGGAAATCTAGCGAATGCTCTGGCAAGAAATCTGTTTAGGAAATTAATTTTATTAATTAATAAATAAAATATAAATTTTTTTATTTTTTTATTTTTTTATTTAAAAAAAATATTACCTAGCCGTGACATTATGAACCATTGACCCTGAGAAAATGATTGCGCAACAGGTAGCAATAGACAGGACCATCAATAAACCTATCGCTATAAAAATTTCAAAATAAATCTCTGAATAAACTACCAGTCCAGTAGTGAATCCCATCGTGACAAATACTTTATTATTGTCATTATCATCCATCCTAGTAGCGACTATCAACAACAACAATCCTAATGCAGTCGGATATAACCGAAACCACCGATCTCTAACAAAATTAGCAAACCTGTCAATCAGTCCAGCTTTCTCAATTCTAAGTTTATACGTAAAATTAGGATCCAAAGTGACAATAATTTTTACAATATGATCCGAAAGGTAATCACTGTCCATTTGCATCCTCAGTACTTGGGACTTTCCAATATCCTTTTCAGTTAGCGTGTAAAACTCTGTAATACCAAATTTAGTTGAGTTCCAGGACTCTTTAACCTCAATAACAAGATAAACCGCCATATCTTCACCGTCTACAGACTCCAGTACAAAATTAATAGCGTCAGGTACTTTAACATCTAGGTGCCATCTTAAACTTCCAGACTGAGTGTTTATCACCGTTTTGTAGTCACCAGCAGCTAATACTGTTTTTAGCGGTAAAGGTAGCCAGGAGACTCCCGACCCATCAATAAATGATGTTCTTGTTTCCAAAGAGTAAAGATCTGTGTGGACAGTCACCAAAGTCTTTTTGTCAGCTTCGATGGTAGGAATTCTGACGACAATATGCGTCACTTGAGATGAAATTTCATGTAAATTCAAGTCGAGGGTTTTTCGTTGTCGAAAATAAACGTCGGGAGACAGTCTTGTGAGATTGGTAAGATTTATTCCTGACTTGCATATTTTTTCAGAGGTTTTATCATTAATTATAAGGACAGTGCAAGCAAAAAGCCAGTCTTGAGTATCCAAATTAATTGCGTCGATGCTGAGAAAATTGTAAGCAAATTTGTCTACTGGAATTGGAATCATCAAATAGACTATTGATTGGTGGTTTAGGTTTAGCTTACCCTTTAACGGTTTATCATTATTACTGTTGTAAGAAAATTGGGGCCCAGTCACTTGGATCCACCTTCCTTCCTCCAAGAAATTAACTCGCGGTTGAAAGTTTATTTTGGTTAAGTATTTACCGGCGAATCTATTCTGCAAGTGATAGCTCAGGGCTTTTAATTTTATTTCTCGTTGAGAATATATCTTTGGAATTCGTTGAGTAGTATCTACAGAGTCAAAAAGCCCTCTAACAATTGCGATTATCAATTGCTTACACCAGAGGATTGACAAATGATCTTGAGCTCGCCAGACATTGGGAATCGCGGTGGAGAGGATGTTAAGATCGGCCAGTGGATCCAAAATTTGAGAACTAGTGACTAAAAGATCTCGTGACCCGCCGCCAATAGAGACTATACTGACACTGTTATGGAGACGCTTTGCTCGACTGTTTATATATTGATAAAAGTTAGCCGAAGTCTGATCAAACGCAATGTTAGGAGTGTGAGGACTTGCAAGAGTTATCAGGATACTTGCTGGACTAGATGTTTGGTTGGAGGGCTGAAGCAGGACAGATTTACCAATTATTCCACCCATCGAGTGCCCGATTAAAATAACTTGGTCGAGTTTTTTTTCGTATTCCTCGTAGAGAGACAGGATTTTTTTGATGCAGTGTTCCGTAAATACTGTTTGTTCTTGTAAAATACCTGTTGATATTTTTTATTAAGTAATATAAATATTTTTTTAATAATTAATTCAAAATAAATTACCTCCATAGAGAGCTGAAAGACTTTTAGCAAATGATATTGTAAAATAATCAAAATGAAATGGTGTTCTACGTTTTAAACTCATCCTCAAGCTTACAGAAGCAAGAGACCTCACTAGAATAATAAAAAAAAATAATTATATTGCAATAAAAAATTATAATTAGGTATATAAAATATAAAAAGTACCTTGTTCATGTGAGCCGGCATTTCCAGGAATAAATAAAACCGGAATCCCTGTAAATTTCATCCTCCGTAATTTTTCAGTAGCATAACCTTCTCCGTAGGCATACAGACCAAATTTATTGAATTTATTTTCAATCTCATTGTCTAATTTTATTCTCTGTTAAATAAAATAAAAAAATTTTAATATTTTAAAAAATAAATTTAATTGTTGATGTTTATAAATTATTAAACTTACCACATACTGAGGATATTCAAACATGTAAGTCATGTCACAATTATTTGGTTTTAGATCAGTGACATAATTGGCAACTCCAAAAAGATATAATCCAAAAGAAATTAGACAGAGTAATAAAAATGAAATATAAATAATTATTTTTGCCATTTTATTATATCTTTATTTTCTCTTAACACTATATAACTTTTTATCTTTTTATTTTTCTTAACCCAATAAAACTTTTTCTACTTTATTTCAATAATTTCCTTCAAATATTTAGCAATTTATATATAAAATTTATTGTTATTTTTAAAATGATTATTACCTAGTATTTACATTAATTATTTTATTTGAAGAATAAATGATTAATCCTGATTTAAATTTCATTTTTTAACATTTCACAAGACTATATAGTAGGTAGTACTTGTATATTTAATAATTTAAAAATAAAATTAAGTTTTCGTGTTACGAATCAGCTGATGACGCTTGCAACATATCATCTGATGGTTAAAGGAGAAAATTATATTTTTGAAATTAAAATAATACACAGGTGCACATTTAATTGTTATTTTTTTTTTTTTTTATTGGTAAAAAAGAATTATAATAATTAATTAAAAATCAGTGAATTACATAATGAATTTTTTATAAAAGATAAAAGAAAAAAAAAAAAAAAGTATAAAAAATGATGAGAAATTTATAAAATGTCAAAAAATTAAATTCATTCTTTAGCATCTTCTCTAGAGACTGAAAATGGCTCAGTAACATCTTCGACTCCACAGTCGGCAATTATTATGTCTTTTACAGGCTTGTCGTTGTGTCCAACGGTGGTTTTTTCGACTTTCCTTACTACTTTCTGTAAAATAATGATTAAAAAGTTAGTTATGTACATACATATATTATTTGTTATAAGTTATAATTATCAGTAATAATGATAAAAAATAATTTTCTTACCATTCCTTCGATAACTTTGCCAAATACGACGTGTCTACCGTCCAGCCAAGGAGTTTTTACAGTAGTGATAAAAAATTGTGACCCGTTAGTATCTTTACCAGCGTTGGCCATCGACAACCATCCGGCTCCGTAATGCTTCAGCTTGAAGTTTTCATCTTCGAAACGATCTCCGTAGATACTTTTTCCTGTAAGATTAGTTAGACAGTTTTTATACGGTGAGAAATAATTTAAAAACTACCAAGAATAATATAAAAAAATTTTTAAATATTAATTTTGTATGGATGAATAAATTTAATTATAAAATCTTAGGTACTTAAACTATTATAAATTGAATAATTGTCATCATCTTTATATATTTAATTAAACTTGGTTATTGCTTAGAATTCTATAGCTGATGACAGTTGAAAGAATCGTATTTATTTATTTACTATAGTACCACCTATTAAATACTAAACAATAATAATAATAATAATAATAATAATAATAATGAAAAGTAAAAGTTGTTTACTACCTCCTGTACCGTCTCCTTTAGTAAAGTCACCTCCTTGGATCATAAAGTTTTCAATTACACGGTGGAATTTACTTCCTTTGTATCCTTGGCCTTTTTCTTTTTGTGCCAACTCAACAAAGTTTTTTACTGTCTTAGGGACTGTATTACCAAAAAGACCTATTCTAACCCTACCGAGATCCTCATCGCCTCGTTTTAGGTCTAAGTACACCTGAAAAAAAAAAAAAAAAAAAAAAAAAAAAAATTAAAAAATTATTTTAAACTTTTAAATTAAATAACTTATAGTATTGATGATAATAATTAACAGATAAGAGTTACTTACTACTTGGGTAACTTTAGGTCCTTTAGCGGTTTTATCATCGGCACTGACGTTTCCCAGTAATGCCGACAATCCAAAAACAGATAATAACAATAAAAATTTCATTGTGATCCTATCCTAACTAGCTGAGCGGTACAAACAGGTACGGACGCTTCGAATGCACTAGCGGTAATGGCAATTGTTACAAGTTACTATTTACAATCCCAATCCCAGACTTGATTACTAACCGTTACATATACAGAATACAGATTTGTGATCCTCCTCAGTATGTTGAACCACGTTGCACTGTGCTTTGTTGCTTTGTAAGTAATCTTTCTTTCTCCCGCAAACCTCCTCCTGTATCGTGCTGTCTTTTTTTATAACGTGGAGAGACGTGATAGGTCGCTAGTTGCTTCTTTGACTTTTATTTTTTATCAAGCCCAATCATTTTTAGATTTGTCGGTTGATTTATTTTTATAAACAATTGAAAAATTATATTTGTTTTTTTCCACTGATGTTGAAACTGATCATTTTTCTGTATATTGTTTCATAACAATCACTATGACTATTTTAAAAGATGATATTTGAATCATTAACTTCTAAATATATTTCTTTTGTTAACTATAGTTAACTATAGTTAACTATATATATATATATTAGGGTGTCCGTTATTTCCCAAATCGATTTTTTTTTAGCAATCGCCCCCTGAATCTTTAGTTTATGACCTAAAAAAAAATATCCAACACAAATGGGCTCTTAATTTTCACATTAACTCGTGCCGGAATCATGTTATATTTCCCATTTAAATAACACTAGTATAGGTTGCGCACGCAAGCGCGCGTGTGAATGTTTGTATGGAATTATCTATATTTTCATGCTTATGATATATTTTACCAATCACGTTACGAATAGTTTGCTCTTACATGATATATTTTCATATTTTTCATCTAAATTATAAGAGTGGA